TAATGCAATCGGGATTTTTATTTTAGATGAACCAGTCAAAAGCTACAGTGATCACCGCAAGACACCTTTTTTCAGGACTTCTGGGAAAACCGCCATCACACGCTTAAAAATCAATATTTTTGCATAAAAATTTTTGTAATACTCTTAGAATATACGTCTGTCATATGCTGAAACTTATTTTTATAAATACTTATACAATACTTCAAAAAAAATTCCCAAAAAAGGGCTTTTTTTTCGGCCTTCTAAGTGCAGGTAACCCCTTAAAGCGCCATATTTTGTCTTCAAATTGCGATTTTTTTATCCTGAACGATTTTTTTTTGTCGAGTTATGAAGGTTTGAAGATGGCAACTTTTCGATGATGAGACTATGCACTGCCGAAATGGTGAAAAATCGACAATTCGGTGAATTACAAAGTAAATATTAAAAAAAATTTTTTAATATCCCATTTTTCTCAAAAACCTGACATGATGGACATTTTTTGCTGACGAATTCAAATTCAGCGGCCAAAATTACCTAGGAAATCACTACTCTGTTTTTTGTATCTTTTAGGATCCTTAATTTTGCAGGCCTGTGTAATCAGTACGGATGCATCATTGGATAAATATGCCACAATTTTTATATAACGCATGCTACAATTATGTATCAAAGATGCGTCGAAATGTCTACCTGGGTAATGTTTTATAATTATTATATTTTTTACTGTTTGTATTATCACATAAACAACGTCTTATCACTGCATGTTAATTTGTTGATTACAAAGCTATATCTGCTTTGAAACTTACTTGTAACAGATTTACACGTGGAGCAAATTGTGGAAAAAACCGATATATGCCATATAATTATAGCAAGGTAAAATTTAAGAGGGAGTGTTTTGCTTTAACATGATTTGTTCTTGCAACATCGGGTGACTTAATAATAACTTCAAAATATCATTAACATAGATTACATGTCCTACTATCATTAATTTTGTGTTTTTCCATAACCGATAACCATTTGTCCCACTGATTATCACGATGGAAAAATCAAAACAGTTGTCACAGTCATAATTATCAATTTTCAGAATTGTGTCAAGATAGCGTAACTCATTAAGCACGATCGGTAGGAGTGTGGCTGATTTTTCTGCCGCTAATACATATATAAATAATTTTGGGATTCAACAAGTGCAAACGGCAACATGTTGTCGGCGGCGCGTTTGTGCGTTCTTTTGCTCGTTGCGAGCACTGCTTTTGCTGAGATCACAAATAAAAACTGGTGGCAAAACACCGTTTTTTACCAGATTTATCCGAGGAGTCTGAAAGATTCAAATGCCGACGGCGTGGGCGACTTGAAAGGTAAGCGTATGCCAATCATCATTTATTGTTATACGTCATATAGTAAAGAATAATAAGTTATTATATCAGTATATATACTGTTGTAAAATTCTACCTAACTAATTATATAAAAATAATTTAAATACAAAGAATTTTGAAAACTATAAAACAGTTGAAAACTATAAAACTATTTTGAAAACTATAAAACTATTGATTAATTATTAGAATAATTAATTATTTACAATTTTCTTGTGTGTCTTTTATTAGGAATAATTTCAAAATTGCACTATATCGCAAGCACTGGCATTAGTGCAGTCTGGCTCTCGCCCATATATCCCAGTCCCCAGGTCGACTTCGGATACGACATATCCGATTTCATTGGCATCGATCCGACTTATGGATCACTGGAAGACTTCAACACTCTTCTGCAGATCGCTAAAAAACTTGGTTTAAAAGTGCGACGGTTTGCCATCTATAATAAAATTTTTCGTATTACATTGCAAATAATCTAAATTCAGAAATAAAGAAATAAGTATTATTTGTTTCAGGTCGTTTTTTAAAAAACATGTCAATCTTGCAAGATCAATTTTATGTCATTCTTATAGGTAGTTCTCGATCTCGTGCCAAATCATACATCTGACAAGCATCCATGGTTCGAAAAAGCTCTTCAGGGCGACCTAAAATACAAGAACTATTACGTGTGGGCAAACGGCACGGGAGAAAACGGCACATTGCCACCTAACAATTGGGTCAGCGTGTTTGGTGGTTCCGCGTGGGAATATTCCCCTGAAGTCGGTGAATGGTATCTTCATCAATTTGCTAAAGAACAGCCCGACTTAGATTATTACAATCCGGAGGTGCGAGAGGAAATGGAAGTGAGTAAATGTTGTATTTGGCAGAGACTGCCGATAGAATTTATAAAAATTATGTAACAATATATAATTAATTATTCAATTTCTTAATTAACACGTTATTTTTAGGAAGTGATTAGATTAAGACATAAATCTAAAGACATAAATTTTTGATTTTAACTGCAATAATTATATGCATTTACAGGAAAGATATACAAGAATAGATTATACAATTTTCATAAATTGCATTAATAAATGTTACTAATATTACTAGCATAATTAAGTAATAGTTTTTATAATTTTTAACATAAATTTAACGCACGTTACGTATTTCGTTATATAAATTTGTGCAAGTGTAAATTTCTAAATACAAGAAACATTTATCAGAAATTACGAGTACATAAGAATATTTTATTGCAGCATTAGACTTATTTTTATGACTGTCAATGAACTTTTTGAATGTTTATAGAACGTCTTGAAATTCTGGCTGGACAGGGGTATAGACGGATTCCGCGTCGATTCCACTCCGTACATGTACGAAGACAAAGAATTGCGAGATGAACCTTTGTCTCACAAACCTGGCACTACACCAAGTGATTACACGTATTTGATTCACAGTTACACCACGGATCTTATCGAGACCTATGAATTATTTGGATCTTGGCGAAAATACCTGGATGACTATGCCGATCAACACAATCAGGATCAAAAGGTAAATTAAACTATTTTTCCATTTTTGTTCTTTTTTAAAATTATTTTTTTGTGTCGTATCTTCATGCGTGATGTAAAATGCGTTTTTTTTCAGTTACTGGTGATGGAGGCGTATACCAATTTTAAGAACACCACATTATATTATAAATATGGCGCGCTGCCATTTAATTTTCAGTTTGTCATAAATTTAAATAAAACTTCGACCGCGCCAGAATACAAAGAATCTATAGACCTTTGGATAAATGCATTGCCGAAGGATGAAGTAGCTAATTGGGTGGTACGTGTTTCATTATCGATGCGAATCTCTTGTGTTCGAATTGATTTTTTCGTATTTTTTCTTCTGACGTTCATCAAGTTTTTCAATTACTCTAATTGCAGTTAAAAAGTTTTAGATTTTATAAATATTATTTATGCAATAAACACCATATGTGTTGCACTATATTTATAAATGTAAATATTTCTTTTTCATTCAGATTAATTCAAAGAAGAATTTCTTTATTTGTATAAGATGTGTCAAGTTTTTCAAAGTGTTAAAAAGTCTGTTATTTATATGATAATAAAAGATTTTTTACAGATGAAGTCAAAGTGTAATATGCATTCTTTTAGATGGGAAATCACGACAATCCACGCGTCTTTTCTCGTTATCCCGGCAGAGGGGATCAAATGACCATGTTATCTATGATCTTACCGGGTTTGGCGGTAACGTATAACGGCGACGAAATCGGCATGGTGGACAAAAGAGACATATCGTGGGAGGACACACTAGATCCTCAGGCGTGTATTGCGGGCAAAGAAAGATATCAAGCCGTGTCACGCGATCCTGAACGTACGCCATTCCAATGGGACGCGACAAAGAATGCAGGTAGAGAACACGTTCGAATACATGGTGTTTAATAATAGTAATTAATATATTTATAAATCTTGATTAATTACTTGTTACAATAAGGATTTAGCACGGCGAATACGACGTGGCTTCCAGTAAACGAAAATTACAAAGAGTTAAATTTGGCGAATCAACTAAGAGCTAGGACATCGCACTACAAGACCTACAAAACTTTAGCGCTGATGCATCGATTTGATCCAGCTCTTACCAAAGGAAGTTATAGATCGTTCACTACAAACAATGATACCGTTCTCGGTGTGGTACGAAAACATGGCAAACGATATGTGGTGCTTTTAATTAATTTCAGCGACGACGAAAGCCAACTTGTCGATTTGCATGATCAAAAACTTCCACATGTTCTCGAGGTCAAGACCTCCAGTTTAAATTCTGGCGTGAAAGATAGGTATGTGATTTTTTAATATTGTTTAATTTTTTAAACATGAATAATTAGATAATAGAGTCAAAATTTACAGTTAAAAAACTTAAAACTTTTTTACATAAATCTAATTATAAAAAATATTTAAACTTATAATCGTGTAAATACACTACTTCACAGAAATTAGGGAACACTTTTCGCACGTGCTGTATGACTTATAATAATTCACCTTTGTATCTTTTGCAGAACTAAGGTTTACTCGAATAATATTGATTTACCTGCTAAAGCTGCTGTAGTATACACAACAGGTGATAATGGACACCATGGACACCATGGACATGATAATGGTGGACACCATGGACACCATGGTGAACACCATGAACACCATTATTAAGGATTGAAGTACTACTTTGGTTGCTTTTATGGATTATAATTTTTTCTGCGATAAAAATAAACAATGAATATAATAAATGAAATAAGAATAAATAAATTTAATTAATTATAACTTGTGTAAATTTATTTCCACACAAATTTATACCATAGTTAAGCATTTAAATAACTTAAATAATAAATAAAATATTGCTATATTTTATGTATAATAATTATCTTGCTAAAAATAATATATTATTAGCACTAAGTTGCATACTTATTTGTTTGATGTTTGTGGTAGCACTTTTTAATTGGGAATTGATTTATATTTTAATAAAAGAAAATCTGTATAAAGATTGATGTTTCATTAATTAGAACGCTTTCTGTTTTATCATTGTATGGACATCAGCACATCTACTAGTTTATATTGATCTGCTTATCTTTCCATATTGTTATATAGATAAATTTTGTTGCAATAATTTTTGTAAATGTCTAAAATTTGCCGTATTAAAGTTTTTATTTTATCCATATTGTTAATATACTAAACATTTACATCAAATTGTATATAAAAATTATTCTTGCAGCGAAAATTTTTCAACAAAACGTATTTTATTCAATTATGCTCATCCGATTATGTATATTTAATTGATTTTGTCGGATAATTTATGATGAGCTGGCATAATATCGACTGCTAGTATACGATAATAAATTCCACCACGGTCGAAATTAATTAGCACGCCGGTAAATCGAGACGTTGTATTGATCGCAATAAACGCATGCGCGTTCATTAATCCGATCGCGTACTGGAGGGGTAATGCAACGCTACGTGCGAATAGTCTTCGAGGCAGATGCAGAGCCTGCGATAGTGCAAGTCTATAGTAGTATGTCAAGAGCAGTGTCGCACGTGTTCACGAACATTTGGCGAGGTTGACAGTGATCATCCTTGATCCCGGGCATCATTCTTGCACGGTACTTGTCTTGAAGAATACATTGAAATTCGATTGATTAACTCGCGAGAGAGTGCAGTGTGTTTCGACAGCTGCAAACTTATCTTCTAATTTATCCATTTATTTACTATCTTGTTTTTTATAACTTTTAGGAGCATTTACAAGTCTTTAAAGTGTTATCAGAATATCTTTTATCGTAAATAATGCAAGGTAATTTGGAAAAAATAACACGAGCATCGCCTGTTTTAACAGCTGCATTTGTAATCACTTGACGACTGCAGCTGGTTCACTGTTTTAAAGTATTGTATTTTATTTACTAGTGCTGTCTATTCTTAATTTTATTTTTGTCTTTGTAATAACGCGGAGAAAAGAATTATTTTTCAATCGAATAAGTAGAAGAAACTGTCAGTGAAATTTGTGGTTATATATATATATATATATATTATCGTTAATTTTGCAACTGATATTTTTAAACGAATTAACGATGTAAACGAATTAAAGACTGTTGACTTGTGTTTCGTGACATAATATCTTTTATACGTATAAAAATCGCGTACATATTACGTCTTGTGTTTTGCTGATAACAGAGTCGATAACGTGCGACATGGCGAAAGTCGTACATTAGTGTCACATAATCACAACTCGTGTCCTTCAATTTTTGACATAAATTATGATAAAAATATTATCATATTCTGCATCATAATTATATGATCGTTATAATATGTAAGCATTTGTTTTAATCTAACATAATTCTAAGGTACAGATTATCAAGCAACAATTATTTGATTATATTATTAACGTAAAAACTGAACAAATATTAACGTCATATGCAATAGTTTAAAAAAATTAAATTATATATGTTTTAAGTGTTTTATTGTATGTAACTATCGTTGCGTGTTATTATAAATATGTTTCCAATTTGTAGATAAAAATTCAGCTAAGAGTATGCAGCTCAGAAAATGGAAAATGTTGCAGAATGATTTTTTTTTCAAAATATAAACAAAGAAGGATGCACGAAATTACAGTCAAAATAGCGTATTGTCGATAAGAATCTCGTTAATTTGATTTTTTAAGCGACATTACTTGTGTTTCTCGTTTGATACTTTTAGTATTACTTTGCATACGGAATACATAAATTATTTTGTGTTGATAATAAAGCGCTCACCAAACAATAGCAAAACATCATTTGTCATGCTAAAGACAGTCACGACACATTTTTCTAATTCGACGATTCGTTAACGCATAATTCCAAGTGACAAATCGAATTTATGATATTTTCACCTGTAGTTTATTTTTGATTTGCTCACATATGATGCGAGGAATCTTTCGTAAACGTTAAAAAAAATATTTTTCTTTTTCGTCTTTCCCCTTCTCTCTTTCTCTTTCATCAAAAACACTTCGGAATGTCCATACTCAAATACGTATGTATAATGCGGAGCTGCATAACACTGCATTGCAGTTGTGTTCCGCTGTGAAATACAATCGTCCACATGCTCTACTAGATCGTTTTATTTCTGTCGAACTTGTTGAATATAATGAATTCTCATTATTATTTGTTTGCTATTCGCTGTCTGCTTACCAATCGTTAAACCTTTTAAAGGTTTGCGCTACTTCGAATTGCAATTACAAATTGCATACCAATGGCTATTTCACGTTAGCCATAATATGCGATGACCAAACTAACAGTTTGATTTGTGCGCATTTTAATATCTAATTATTAATTTTATATTACTCTTTGATTAAAGTGATTTGCTTTTGTGATAATTAATTTATAGCCTTCTCTGCAAAATTAATTAAACAATCGTATAATCACATTTTAGATACTGCGTTTTATTCTTGACGTGAATCCTGTGTGATATTCGTGCTTCCACCTTCGCATCGTTCACATTAATCGGAAATTCTCGCGGCGTCAAATTTACCGTAGATATGTGGACGTAATCGATGATCTATCTTTAGCACCGCGAAGAGAGCTTTGTTTTGCGCGGCAACGTCCGGCAGTTCTCCATTGCACATTTATCTTTCACGTAATTATGCTAATTAGATGTACACTATTGAACTCTTTATATCCTAAAATAATAATATTCTATAAATAACGGTATAAGATATTTATTGGTTGTTGAGAAACTTAAAAAAACTTCAAAAATTTGATTGAAATTATATGTGTTACAAGTAAAATGTATAGAAATATATAAAATTCCTGATAAAGAAAACAGTGAGACTAAAGTGAAAATGTTTTATCAAATATTCACATCCTCAGCGGTCAAGAATATAACATGCGGTAAAGGAAATCCGCCTCGATATCTTTTGCGGTCACCATGAGATACAATTGTAAAGATCTGCTTGTTGTTAATCTAATTTATCTAGCTAACAACGAGCGATTGTTAAGATATCAATAATCCAATCTGTGCAAATTAATTTTTATTAATTAAACTTTTTTTCCATCAAATAAAATAGATATTACAAAATTTTGAGTATCACTTTTATTATCTATTTATACGCGACATCATTTTGCTAGTTCGGAGTCTCAAAGGCGTCAAATAAACCGTCTGAAAAATTCTACGCCAAGAAAAAAAGTAGAGCACGATATAAATGGAATGCCCTTTCTTAGTGAAATGTCGCTTTTTCTTCTTTTTGGTGTAAAATATAAAAAGCAATAACCCGCATGCAACGTGATGCAATGTGATTGCGCGAAACACATTTAGATGTCTATTATGATTATGTCGCTGATGGATCGATTGATAACTATTGTATTTCTATTGACGTGGATACTCTTTTGAAACGTTTGTTCAATCTCCATGGAAATGTGTGACTAATAGAAGCTTAAACCGATTAATCGTCAATGGTTTGATTTTTTTTTTACAGTAGTAGAGTTGACACATGCATGTAAATTTTTCATGCAATACAAAAAACAGATTACAAAATAATATATTCAGCAACTAGCCTCAAAATTTCAACATTATTTTCAATCAGTTTTTCAATTTCAATTTTTTTCCGCTTTTCACTGCGATTCATTGTCATCGTTTTATGCGTAACGCGTATATGCGCACATAGATGCGTAGGCGACCGCGGTGACCTATATACATGGAATATGAAGCTTACGTTTCTTATCTGAGATTACTTTCAACCTTACTCATTTTGCAGGGACTATATTGAGCTTACGATCAACGCAGTAGGTCGCGACATTGCAAATTACTTTGCTGAAACAGCGGAACGCGCAATCGGCATTCGCTACTTCAGCGAATTAGAAACCCTTTCAGAGTCGACAGTCGAGCGAGGTCTGTCAAAAGTGAAATCTTATTGTCAGTATTTTTTTTTCTTTTTTTTTTCATTAGAACTGTATAACGCTCGATGCTTTATTGTATTGCTGTTTTTAATTTTGATTTAATAATTTAAAAATATGCGAAGCTAACAGAAAAATTTTAAGATATACTTTTTGTTTTTAGAAAATTTTGTAGTTTCTGTATTATTAAAATTTTATTCTACTCTATTTATATATAAATTGACTCGATTTTTGTACATTGTTTTTATGTACATGTAAGTAATTGCAAATTTGCAATAATATAATTTTTATCTATGAAATTCGTTTTTCAGAGATATAGCAGTTTTCATTTTCTACATTTGCGCGATATGAAAACTTTTATAATAATACTAGTAAAATATATATATCGTGTCGCGTACAAGCTTTAAAAGACAAAAAAATAGTGTCAGAAGCTTAACAATAGCTTGACAATATATTCTATATGTTATCAGTTCGGGATTTAGCTATATGCGTCACAAAACACTCGTTGCTTTAATTAAAATTGCAAATACATTTATGATAAATATTTTTAAATATATGTTTCGAAATATGCAGCACGTATTAATTCCCACCAGATGTTACACGCCAACCAACATCTTAATGTGTAATCTTTATTTTCTTTTATATTTACATTCCTTGCATGTTATTATGACACCAGATACTAATCGATGAGTGAACAAACAACTGATTATCTCGGTGGAAGAGGCGCCACTGATAATCCTGCTGATGACTTTTGGATGTACAGGTGTTCGCGGATTAATTGCGACCCATGTGTTTGTTGCAGAACATGGTGGACGTTACAACGGCACTGCCGTCGAACGGAGGCGGGTCGTTAATTGGACGCACCAGAGGTGCTCTCAGATCCGTGCGCTCTGCTCTGGGAGGAAGCGGGGAGTATCTTCAGGGCCTAGGGAACAGAATAGGATCCGCTCTCAGTAGCAGTTTGGAGGAAAGCGAACTGACCACAACCCCATCTTCGCCGCCGTCGTCGCCGCAAGCACCGCCGCAGACTGTCAAGCCGGAGGAACAATTAGCACGGCGAAAACTCAGACTTCCGAAGTGAGCACACATTTGATATTCAAGATACCTGTGATAATTAACGCTGGGAATATATATTCTACGTTAGGGATGCAGATACTAGAATGTTGTAACAGTAAACTTGGCAATGTTGTTCTGCAGAATACTAATGAGGTTCCCCATTCTCTGAACTAGCAATTTCTCGCTGCTCGCGAATTGGTATGAGCTTCTTTGAATATCATTTGCATAAATTTCATCTGGATATCGCCTCTTGATTTTATCGCTGCAAATATTTCCAAGCAATGTTTAAAAAGCTGTGAACTTTCAAAAGTTTTCAACGTCATATTCGTTAAACACGTTACGTTTCTATATTTAGCTTTAAATTATTCTACACGATATAAATATGTTAGTTTATTTAACTTACGTATGCGTCAGTCAGAATATAGTGTATGCCTGCGTACACAATGTTGCACTAAACGGTCCTGCAATGTAAATTTTAATGGTATGCGCAACGAGCGATTAACACGTCGCGTCCACAATAGTACGAGCTTGTACCTGTTGCGAAAGATAATATTGTAATGTTTGCTTCTCATGAATATTTGCGCCTCAACACACAATATCTCGTTGGTAGGTTCGGCGTGGGATTATCTTACGAGGACTACGAGGCGATAGCGCGGCACAAATTGGAGCGGCAGGGCAGCGCGAATCTTTCCAGAACGCGCAAGTATCCGCCCGGGATGACTTACGAAGAAATAGCGTCTTCGCGATCGGCCTCGAGCAAGAAGCAGGAAAGCCGGGCGGAGCAGGACGACATCAGTCCCGATCGGGACAGCCAGGAAAGTATAGAGCCTCTTCAGGAGCAAGACATCAAAGCGAGTGGACCCGATCCTTATGAGAAATTGAATTACAAAGCAGGTGATTAGCCATCGCTTTCAATTATCCGCGACAGACGTCGAAGTTAACGACTTTCTTCGTCTTCTTTGACGACGGCTATCTTTCTCTCGCTCGCAATTGTCGCAATCATGCAGTTATCGAGATTCGGATGGAAATAATGTGCTGTGTTCTTCTTTCTTTTCACGAAGCGAGGGCACCGACCCGCTATCAGACGGTTGTTTTCCGTTTAGGTAAATGTAACAGCCAGTCAATGTCGACTGCTCCTGTGATTTCACCCGCGAGTCTTCTCTCAGTGTACTACACGTAGGGATGCTTCAGTTTAAAGCATCGAGACTTTTCAAACGTATATGAAGTGTCAGACTCGATATTTGGTTGTTTTCTCGAGAGGTAATATCTGCAATATTTCTGTTAAAAAAAAAGAGAATAAAATCAATGCAATCGATAATCAATGTGGTTTGTAAAATACATGAAATTTCTCATATATTAGCTGCTGTAGAAAATTGTTAATGTCTTTAGTAATAATAAAATATAAATGAAACGTCTAACTTAACGTTCTGCTTGAATACTTCTCTTTGAATATTGAGAAGTGACAAACGTGAAAGTAATTATTAATACTTAAAATCTATGCTCTCATTCAAACAAAGTCTCGATACTTTGATGCTATCGTAAGCATACCTTATCACATACCTGAGTTTCCGACCTGGACTCCTTCCGCTAGATGTGATTAGCGAATACTAGAGCAATCAATATGTTCGCGTAACAAGGTACTCGAATATCCGAGAAACGGCTCCGATAAACCCTCGCGCAGTTTGATTTGGAAATATTGATTTTCGTAATGAAAGATACACAGCGAAAGTCTCAAGTTGAATTTAGAATTGATTAAAATTTGTTTTAACTTCCTTCCATTTCAATAAATTAGAACTTAATCGCTTCAATGTTTGAATAAGGAAAAAAATGTGAACAGGAATTTGAAGCTTGATACTCGTATATTCGAACACGCCGAAACACTCGCCGTATTTTTTTTTTTTGCCAGATATTGCATCCTGTTGGTAAAAATGTTGTTACCTGTGTATATGTGTGTGTATACTATCACGCGACTTGCCTATGCACCCCGATTGCATCCATGTGTATTCCCAACAAGGGACCGTTCACACTTTTCTACGTGGATGGAAAAAGTTCAACTATGTGATAGTAGTAGTTTCCCGCGATAGACAGCCACATTTATCATCAGCTGACGCCGACATATCCGTTGTTTTTGCAACATCGCGCAGATTATCGCACAATCAACAAGGACGTAGATAAAGTGTGTAGTGAAGTAAATTCGCGAATATATAAACACGCAACGTTCAGCACCATACATAATAATGATGGATATTCGCCGAGCGCCGTTGCATTTCTTTTCCATACTTCATATAGATTATTTTACAAATTTCCGCGAAACATAAGTGAAAATTTTGCATTTGGCGAAACACAACAAACAGTTTTAGAAAAGTAATTGTAGTTAGAATGAAATATTCAACTTCCACATAACATTCATATTACAATACGCATTGAAATCGATTGATAATTGGATCTCAATTAATCCTTTACGAATCTATATTAATTTCAATAAATAATCATTTTATTAATTTTGGATAAAAAGCTTGTTTATTACATTTCAGAGTTTAGATAAAAAGCTTGTATATTATATTTCAGATAATTTTTTTTGGAAACATGTGGATTTTGCTCATAATACTCATTTGTAATCAGTGTCGGAGTGTTCGTATAATTACGCAAGAGTGGTTAACATTTTGTTGCATAGTCTAGTGATATTGTTGTTTGTTTGTTTTCATCCCGTGAGTTATTAGATTAGATTCAATTGCAAGTTTAGATGTCGTTCTTTCGAGCGTGACGTATCATTGCTTGTCGCGTTAATTACAACTGCGCGAAAAGCTACGTCTAATGTTTAACGGAAGACGTGCTTTATTTTAGACATGCCTTGTAGCAGTGGTTCTACGAGCGATCAAGACGGATATGGACCCAGCACCAGCCTGGATTCTAACATGGACGGTCGCAGAATGTGGCAGAGATCAGGTATCGGTTTTAATTTTGATACTCGTGCAATTTTCAAAGTGATTTAAGCTATCTAAAAATGAAAAATACAAAAAGTATTACGATTAATTAAATTATTGCAGGATCATCGGGTTCTGTTCAGTCCTGGGCTTCGAGCTTATCAGCTGATAGCCAGTCGGAGGAGGCAGCCGCGGATTTCATGAAAACTTTCGTACCTCTGCTATTCGACGCGCCTAACAGTATCGACCAGGAGCAAAAGGCCAATTTTGGACAAATGGTCCTGGTATGCATTTTAAAAAATATATGTAATAAATACATAATCTCTCAAGCAATAATAATAAAGATTTAAGACACATTAAATTACAATATTGTCTATTTTGACATTCGATTCAGTGTAATAATGAATTTGCAGACGGAATCGGGAAGAATATGGTTCTCCAGAGTAGTGAATGCGAGAAGAGCGCGCGCGTGTGTTACAGAAGCTTCGTTCTATTCCTTGGCTCAACATTTTGCAGTCGCGTTATTCGAATGTCATGAAGCGGACGACTTTGCGCCTGCTAAAAGTCTCATGAACATGTGCTTTACTTTTTATCACGAAGGTAACCAAAAATTTTTTATTGACAAGTTATGTGAAACTTTAAAAATTGTTAAGCCCAGATAATAATTTTAGAATAATATAGAAATATTGTAAAATAGAGACTTTATATTAATTTATAATAGGTATTAAAATTTTATGTTAATTTAGGTATTTATGATATTAAACTATCAACCTTCAGCGTACCTATCAATTTTTTATTTTGTTAATTTCAAATTGTTAGTTTGATCATAATTTATTAAACGCATTGCACATTTTCAATTAAGTAGATTTATCTCAATGTATGTTTTTAGTGGAAGTTCCTGGGTTAGAGCCATATCGTGAATATCTGTATACACATTTACGCGTTCAACCGATATGGACATCCATGAGATTTTGGACGGCCGCTTTCTTCGACGCGGTTCAATGTGAACGTGCGTCAAGACCAGTACCACCTCGACCAAAATCTTTAGATCAGCAAAGCATTGCCGCCGAAGATCGCAAGTTTCAAGCAAACATTGTCTTTGGACAGTTAGGGTACGTATTTTTGGACAAATGATCCTGGTATGTTTAAAAAAGTACATAATGAATACATAATCTCTCAAACAATAATAATTAAGATTTAGGACACATTAAATTACAACATGCGATTTATATTTCAACATCTAATTATTTGATTTCTAATTTTACTTGATGATTTTTCTAGGACCTTTACTTGCAATATGCATGCTTTCGGCCTGTCACGAGCTTTATGCACAGAGTTCCTCCGGAAACAATGTATTATCGCGAATTTAACCAAAGGTAATTATTCACAGTATGATTCCTTTTCGGACTAGGATTTGAAATAATTGTTTCCCCATCTCGATTTTGCAGAACAAGAGAAGATGCTGCGAGACAATATAGATCGGATGTTTGACGAGACCGAGCCATGGAGGTAGTTTAGTTTAAGCGAGATAAAATCGACTTCGGAAATCATTTTAAGGAAGTAATTCAGTATTTCTTCTTAACAATGTTTCCGACAAAATCGAATTGGTTTTGGACGCCGAAAAAGCGGCGAGGTCAATTAATTGCGTTAATGTTGTTGATGTAAATTGATATCTGCTGAATCATTCGACATTGGACACGTCAACTCCGAAGATGCAAACACTGCGCCTTAAATCGCGAAGAATGTGTTGTGTCTTGCTAATAATAGATTTGTGTTTCTCATACGAAATATTTTGAGAAATTCACATTAAGAAATTAATCCTAATAATGCTAACAGAAATGAGGAAAAGTTAAACTTTGAAATTTGTTTTCGACAATCTCAAATTTTGGAACAAAATGTTAAATTTCACATTGCGATGATAAAGTTAAGGAGAAATGACAATAAGTTTGAAAATGGAACTGCATTATTGGCAGTTCATTCGAAATGAGGTTTATTGAGTGCAATTTACTATAATATGAAGAATGAAAGGGAAGAAATGATCTTATTAATAAATAGCATCTGATTCGTGTTTTCACGATCTGATTTGTGATTCTCAATATGTAAAGATTTATTTTATAAAATTTCCAATTTAACAATTTATACAAGCATTTCAATTCTTATTTCACAGTTTATGCGACTATTTATAATTTTGTTTGCTATATGTGTTATTGTAAAATTTATTAAAATAAAATAGTTTTCACATATTGAGAATCAGCGGTAAAATAAAGGTAAAATTAGCAGTTCATCTTGCTCTTTTTACAGTCTAAAATTAGTGACTATAAGACAAAAAAAAAGACGAATTATAAACAGATACTATTTCATATATTCATCGCATTCTTCCTGCATAAAGCAAAAAAAAAAATGTATAAATTCTCATGCGTTATATGTATAACTTTGCGTTAATTTAGTGATTTCTAACTTTGAAGATTATCATGCAATCCGATATGCATTTTGCATTCCGATATTTTATTATCATGCATCATGCAATGTGTAAATAATTTAAAGGAAAAAGCTTGTACGACACACATATCATCAAATGCAAATCCATGCTATATTTTATTTTATATATGTCTATCTGCGATATCTGCCAATATGAAATGATAACCGCAGCAAATATTAAACTAAATAAAGGAACTTGCACGAAATATATAGAAAAATGTCTTTTAATAAAATTTCTTCAATTCTTTGTATATTGTAGATTTTTTTGTAAAATTAAAAAATATTAATTTTTGTTGAAGTTATGAAACAAGTTGGCTCGGGTATGTCATATCTTTAGGGCGTTACAGAACATAAAACGTGGCTCTAGAATTAATTTTTCGAAGCAATCTTAGAATTTTTTGCAGGGACATTCTTCTTATCTTTATCTTTCAAGCTCTTTGATGCGTCTCTTTTTAATAGAAAAGTTTCTTAATAGTTCCTACAAAAAAATGTCTTTTAATTGTTGATCATTCTAAAACTAAAAGATTTATGACTTAAAAACTTACCTCCCCTAAATTTTACAACTTCTACCGAGTTTCGGAGAACGTTGAATTGCTTCGACTCCAATTTAAGGATTTTCGGAGTTCTTCCCGAGCTTTCACATATTTCTCGGCCAATGATAAAGTTTTATTATCCTTTCTTGATAAGAGTTTTTCATTGTGCATCAAGGACTCGCTGGATTCGCTTTCACTAAACGACTCAGATTTTTCTGAAAGCTTTTCAAGAGTTTCGCCTCGAGTCATCCTGTTGGAAAAGTCATTCGCGATGAAGTCGCTTCGGGAAGGTTTGAGTTGTTGCAATTTGTCAAAGTTGAGAATTTTATTGTTCATTCTCGAAGCGTCCTTTGTTGCATCTGATTGCTGCATGTAATTAAAGTCATAATTAAATATGCTCCGTGGACTACGAATGTTCTTCAAACTCGCTTCAATTAAGTCAGCCAGATCAAAATTGCCGTCTCCGACGATAAAAGATTTGTTCGCTAACTCTTCAGCGGTGTTAAATATTTCACACTTCGTCGTGGCTACCTTTTCAGGCTTGGTCTTCGTTTTCGATCGAGTCTTACGATGTGAGCTCTGTGCTAAATTTGAGGAAGACTTAGTATTTTTAATAGTGTTTTTAGAAAAAGAGTGCGTTTTCGGCGCAATCGGTTTCGATTTGCCTTCTTGCAATTTTGCGTTAATGCTATTTGTTTTATGTTTTTCCAATTTATCGTGCTGCTTGTCAATACTTTCGTCGCACTTGTTAGAAATGCTTTTCGTCTCTTGTTTCGTTCTCATCTTCGATGCGATAAGATCTTCCTTCTGGACGCTCTTTTCATTTGTGTTGAATTCAGGGACAGCATTTTTTACATTTCTCTTTTTCGGAAGCAATTTCTCATTTTTTGTATTTACGCGAACTCGAGTATCGGACGTCGTTTTGGAAAGTGGGATGGTTATCAGATCTGCGTTGGAAGATTCCGAATGTTTCTTCGCCATGACGTTACTAGTCGAGGCTGTCTTCGAGACAGCTTTTAATGCGCCGCTCGATGATGATTTGTCAATTTTCAAATCATTTGTAAATTTAGTCAACGACTGAATTCGGAGATCCTGAAAAATAAATAATCTGCCTGTAAACACAAATTGTAAGTACTATTATTTATTATTAAGTGCTTTTGTTTACTATACCTTTTTATTTTTTAGAGACATCTGGATTTGTCTGTCTTTATATAGATGCTTCCAACCGTAGACTTTAGCCTTTTGTCTTTCTTCGAGGTTGACTCTGGTTTCTTTGTCTCTCTCATAAAGTATTTGCCAGACTGAATCGGCGTTGAAGATCTGAAAAATTACAATCTGTAATGTAGAATAAAAACATGTTATCTATAATAAACTTTTACCTATCTCTATATTTTTTTGTATTTTATCCATCTTGCTTATCAATTTAATGTTAAAATTTTAAAAATGTATTGATAGAATTAATTTAAAATGATTAAATTAAGTGATACATTCTGTATTTTGCATATATGTATTATATAAAATACGGTAACAATGAGTAAATTAATTTTATCAGTAAAATCGAATCTTTTTGTTTATCAAGTTATCTGCCATTGTTAAAAAAATAAAATCAAAGCAAAAATTAAGTTATCATTAACTTCATTAATATTCTTTTTACCTCATAGGCGACATGCGATAACGAAGATAACTTGACAATATCCGTGTACGTCAAATATCTTGTTATTTTTCCGATTAAAGATTTTGGTAAAGTCAAAAGGGTATTTAGGTTCCCTTCAGTAATATTTTTCACGTACTTTAACAGATGTTCACCTGCAATGTTAGAAATTGCACTTTAGTGAAATTATTAAAAGAATTCAAAAATTACTTTTTAAACAAACTCTAAATTTTTCCAAATTCTTCATCATCTATGACATTATATAATTTTATTTTTGCATAATATGCCGGGAAAATACATTTGCATAAAAACATTATCACTTGTCCCATTACGATATAAATGATAATAATAACCACAAGTATAAATTTCTTACCTTATACACTTATTTTTAATTAACGGAAGAAAATGATTAAAAAAAATATGAAACAGATTCTTCTGATAGAATTAATCATTTTTTTTGAAAGCTAAATATCTCACCAAATGCGTGACATATTTTATCCTGCAAAGATTTTTCTTGACCGAATTCGGCGAATTTAACTCTATGTACGATTGGTGCTTTGTGAGGACCGTGAGAGATTCTCCATAAGTGTAGAATTACCTGATAAATATAAATAGGTTAGTAAAGAAAAGCAAACAGCATCAATTTCATCAGCACCTCGTCTTGAAGAACTTTCAGGCTATAATAATCCCTGCTAGGCGGAGATCCAACTGAATACTTTATCAAGTATTCAAGTTTATTGTTCATGCTCGACGTAACCTTGTCGAGAAAATTTGATCTGAACACCGCAGCTGACTGGATTCACTTGATGCAGAAATTGATGTGTATATCGAATCGAAACATTCAGAATGAAATGTTCACGTAGTCTGCATCGTCAATCATTTACTTTAGTTCGATAAAGAAAACAAAATTGGGATAATATAGATAGATTTTATAATAATTAATTTTATAAGATAATTTTGTTTCAATTTTTGCTCCAAAATGAGCACGCAGTCTGCGAACAAAAAATTAAGAAATATAATCTAAATTTAATTTAAAATTAAAATTGGATTAAAATAGAATATGATAAAAATCTCTTTTTTAAATATTACTACAATTTCTTTTTCCGTTTAATATAATGTTTCGATGCAACAAAAAATGAAGATAATGGAAAAATCAAGGTAGGCATCGCTTTCGCAGAGAAGAATTTGTAGACAGAATTTGACTTTGTGATATTTTATTACAATTTATTCCATATGAAGAGATGAAGATAAATATAGAAATGTTGAAGTAAAAATGGAAAGTCGTGTGGCATTACGTATAGTAGTTGTAACGTAGCAATAACAATATACAAGATAGGCTATATAGTAATATCACAATGCATGATTCACAATTTCGTAAAAGTCTAGAGAATAGAATATAAATCTAGATAGAGGATGTCCTTCATTAAATTGTCGCAAAGACGAACGGAGTGTACGTACGCGTTATATCGATTGTTTTAAAAAACTTTCTATCGTATCTTTTATTTTATACTTTCGCGAATGGACGTACTCGAGGTACAATAATTCGTAGCGTCGTCATTATTATCATGCAAAGCAATTTATACAAGTGGATGTAACCATCACGTTGACAATATTTGGTCAGCAATAAGAGAACTTGTTCATTGTGTTTAATATAAGTTTTCAAATTCGAAGATTTATGCGGCTTATCCGAATACTATAGATTCAAAATCAAACTGCCAATTATTGCTAACTTTATAACGCAAATATTTATGGATATCTCTTGTAATAATGAGATATTATTATAATTAAATTGGTAAGTAATAACAACATTTATAATTGTTAAATTTAAAAAAAAAAAAATTCTGTTCAGATTAAACAGATTGCAGATTAAAAAATAATTTTTCAATATGTTTCTCTGCTGAAAAATGACGCAACATTTCAAGTAGAAAAATGTTTTAAAAAGACAATTTCAGCTGGATAATAAATTTATACTTATTGATTCATTTGAAAGAGCTAATAGAGGAATGAGGTACTTTTCATCCTGGAAAAATTCGGTTAGTTACATATTATGTAAACTAGTATCACAAATATGCCCAACATTTACAAAAAATTATTCCAATATGTACGATGAGTAAAGTATTCTAAATAAACTTGATGTCTTATTACACAAGATGTTTTATAATGTTCGTCCAAACGCTCGTGTATAGGTAGAGCGTGATAAACCGAAAAGTTATTTATCGTTTTGCAATTGTCGCAATAATTGAGATATTCAAAAGGACGAATGATAGCGCGTTGCGCGTGGCTTGATCGTGGGCTGCACGATTTGGGTAGATCAGCAGCGTATCGCACGGCAATGAAAAACAATAGAGAGAAATAACACGCGAGCAATGAGCGGGCAGAAACGGCGCGTGAGGCTGGATCTTGTTATTTTTCGTTGCGATACGCCGCTGGCCTACCCGGATCGTGCAGCGATTTAGCCGCGCGCAACGCGCTATCATTCGCCAATCCTTTTTGTCGTGTTTTCTTTTTCAAATATTCCCCTTTTCGACTAGACTCTTTAAATGATTTATTGCGATAATAATAACGACACGCTACCTATGTTTCTCACGAATACTTGATTGCGCAATTGATATGACGTTTCTAGCTCCTCAGGCGATTGTTGCATCTCGACGGTACGAAAAGCCGCGTGAAAATAAATTATTATGTGCTAGCATAATCAAAAAGTCTTACCTAAGAAAAACGTAAGAAATAAATCTAAGCGGTATAAAAAGATTTCGGGATTTCGGGCCGCGGGACACGCGAACCAATCGTCGTTGTGTAAATTCTGCACGGCGATCATCAGTCCGATCCGGAAAATTCCCGTGATCCACGGTCGTGCAACGATGTCGAAGAGACGAAAAGAATCTCGTTTTCGTCCGAGAATATTTACGCTTGTCCAAATATACTCAAATACACTTCGAAATATCAAACTTCTTTCTACAATCGTACTTGCGTAATTGTAGAATGATTGTACCGGCAGCCTCGTGAAACGTTCGTAGAGCGATTGCACCAATAAATGTATACAAATGTGTCGCAGTGTACACGTTGTATGTGGCATTATATCGCAAATTGATAGTAAAAAAAATCTTTCAATAACGCTAATAATTTTTGTCATGATATCTTAGAAACATCCATTTGACGAAGGATAAATGATAGAAATTTACGTATGAGCTTTACTTTTCTTATATCATTTAACATTTTTGTTCAAGTTTTTAAAGAAACTGAGAGAAAAGAGAAAAAGTAGATTATTGTTCTAATAAAATGTGGAACAATAGGCGTTCTCACAGTTATAAGATAGAGTTACATATGCTAATGCGCACATATTGAGATTTTATAACAGAAATGATAGATGTAGATAGTTTGTGTCGTTATCAGAATTTTGAAAGGATGAGTTCTGATTATATTAACGATAAGTAAAAGTATAATTTTTATGCACAAGCGTTTACTTCGCGTTATGAGCATTTTCACTGACAAGATAAATTTTTGTTTGGTGCATTCGCTTACGAATTTTCGTGCACGAGATTTTGATGCATTTACGTGAAACGGAAGCGAGCTCCTTAACATGCATGTGGCATATGAAATATTAGTTATCGAAACATTAAACAATGCATATTTTCTTAATGGAAATTTAACGAGATTTTTTAGAATTATAAATTATATATATAAACTAATTGCAGAAAATAATCCCGATCGAAATTAATTCGAAACATGATTGCAGTTTTAGCAAAATAAAAATTGTCATTATCCGACTAATAATGTAAAAATCATTTAATGCACGTGCATTATATCGAGATGAGAGTCTCGTTAAACTTTATATTCGGTCCGCTATGTGTTACATTTGAATATTATTTATGTACTTTGACACAGTAAAATGTTTTAAGCGGGACGGCTTACTTCCGATTGTCACGTGTATGCTTTCGAATGTGTATACATAAATATGTGTGTATACATATACATATATATATAGATATACATAATATATATTCATATAATATTTTGGAAGAACAGATTTGCACATTGCGATAGCGCGAAGAGGATTGAAACGCCTTATCGAGAAAACATGATGTCTTATAGTCTCTCAGATATGTCATTGAGCACCACTATGACCCAAATTTTTATTAAATTTAGAATTGACGCTACTCTTTCGTATCGCAATTCCAGAACATAAACAGGAAACTATCACATGTAATCATATTAATATGATTTAACACAAAATAGCAAAATAGCGTATTGTATAATATGTTGCGTAAAAACAAATAATGCACAAGTTAATGTTTTAGATTACAATATAACCACAATAATAATTATTATTGTTATATTCTAATATGTAAGTGAACTCCTTTTTGTCGTTTCGTCGATAAGGCGCTCAGCGGATTTAACGAGCACGGTGCAAAGTGCTCGGATTGGAAGTTAACTTACAAGGAAATATTTTGAAGTGTTACTCGCCAATTTTGATGGGTTTTAGATATATTAGAGGACAGCTCAAAATAAGAAATATTATTTTTCTAATAAGTACTTTTGCGCGCATTTGAGGATTGAGTTTTTTGAAAATGTATTTTTTAAATATTGCATTTTCTTTGTAAATTTGAATTTCTTCTTGAGACAACGATTAAATTCTCTCTTTAACAAATTCAAATGTATATAAATATATAATTGAATAGTTATATATAATTATAAGTTATAATTGAATTTGTATATAATTAAATTATAATACTTTATAACATTGCGTTTTCGGGAAATAAGCTGAAAACGCTCCATGTTATATCTAATTTATAACCATAACTATCTAACAATAATTTTTTGTTTTCTTTTTTGCGTTATTCCATAACATCTCCAAAATCCATTAAAATTTTGGTAAATAACACCTGTAAAAATTTATTTATTAGACCTAAGAAAAGAAAAAAAGAGTCGCTCGAAACCCTCCGCCGAACAAAATTGAGGGACAGATGTGTTTACGAATCGATTGACCCAATTTTCTTACGGGACATCCCAAGAGTTTATACGTCCTATTTTGTACGTCGAGTGAAGTCAAAGGGTCAAACGAAAATCACATCGCGGAGGCAACGGACGAGAGATCAACGTAGAAAAAAGATTCGATCGACTACAGGTATTTATAGTTTAAAGAGTAAATAAAACAAATGTCTTTCTGTGACTTGAACGCAGAGAAACTTCGTGTTTTGCATCAGATTGCAATAAGGTCAAAGCTATAGAATTATAAATGCAATTGTCAAATTAAAAATGAACGAGTACAAACGGGACGTCCATTCAGTTTTTAAAATTTAAACTCAAAAAATTTGACATTGCGTTTTAACCGATTCTACATATAACACATATATCAAAGCTTGTCTGATTGAATAATTGAAGAATTATTTATAATTTTATTTTTTCAATCTTTAAATGTCTCGTGAATTTATTAATTATTTTATTATATTTTGCAATTTAGAGTTCGCAAAATGCAATAGATAAATTTTTGCCCATTTCCAAGCCACAGAATGACATTGGTTGCTTCCAAGAGTATCGAGACGCATTCGTTGCATTCTACGATTGTTGAATGACCGACATCGCCGTCTCCGTGATTGCTCTTCCGTCTCTACAGATGCTCGACGATGTCGTCGTCTGTTCGGAAGGAGCGGCCGCGACCGTCGGCTGTCTCTGCTCCATGTGATCGAGGGTCTTCTCGATAGCTCGCAACCGCTTCTCCAGACTGGTGGTACCCAGAATGCCCACCTGCAATTGCGGTCCCAGCGGTAGAATTGCGAGCAACCACCACGCCCACGACGGACCGTCCGGCAGACGCGACCAGTCTTCTTCTGTATCCGGCATGCGTCCAAACACCCGTTGAATTTCGGATTTCTGAGAGATCGGCACTGTATCCCACCACCTTCGGCCTTTCGCTCGTACCTGTGATGTAATGGGAATACGTAATGGTAAATCGTCGAAATTATAACTGTTCTCTTATGAATTCCACCTTATTATGTAAAAAATAAAATTTATTTCCATTTTTTTTTTCCAAATGTAGTCTCGCAAATGAGGATAAAAATGCGAATGAAGTGAAGAGAAGTTTGAAAGATTAAAATAATGTCACAATTTCGTAATTGAACGAAATGCGCAGTGAGAGATATTTAAAATCACCGAATTGACATTTTTGATAGAAATAAAAAATTGCACACAATTTTTCGCATTCTGAAAATTTATTTTGTTATATATTCAACTTTATGCAATAACTTACTTTGTCGTGAAGTTCCAGGAGATTCAATAATTGATCCTCTGGTACGACGGTGTCCCTGAGAAATTCCACCTGTGCCGTGTCGTAACCGTCCTTTTCTCCTCCGGAAAGTACCCTAAATCTTCTACCACCGACCGTGCTAAGAATACTACAGCCATCTTTGAGCAATACTCGATCTCGAATGTCCAAAATAGTGCCGTATTCCGCGTATCTAAAATTATTATGTTTAATTATTACTTAACTTAATTGCTAGTCACCTTTTTATAACTACATGTCTTTTAGACATAATTACAACTTTTATTGATTTAAATCGCAAATCAATTTAGTGCAAATTTATTATGCAAGAAAGTGCGACGCACCTTTTCGCACCCGTCGCCTCCTTGTTGAGACACGCAGCGATTCCGAACTGGCGTACTCCACTTTCCATGCATCTTCTAATCATCAGCCTGTACCTAGGCTCGTAAACAAAGAGGGGACAGGCGACATAGGGGAAGGCGGTCGTGCAGATAAAGACGGCGATCTGCTCATTACCCAAAAGACCGAGTCCCTGGACCAGTTCGAGTTGATGACTCACCGCTCTGGAGGTATATTCCGCGGGTGCCACTGTTTTAAGCGCTCTCTCCACGAAATCCGTCACGGTTTTCTGGCTACTGGCTAAATACTAGAGAAACACAAGATAATTGGTCAATACGGTTGCTGCGTTATTGTGTCATAATAATATTGCTCTTAAAGCGGGAATGATTATTGTTGCTTTATGAAATCTTCCTAGATTTATATAATATAGACGCTTGCCTTTTTTTCAACGTTAAGACAGTTTCTGTGAAAAGACATTTTTAACGAGTTTAATACGTTCGAATGTGTCAGTTAATAATAAAATGGCAATGCGGTTTATATAATGCGTTTAATAATACTCCCGATAACAAAGAGAGCGTCGCACAGGAAGGGTTTTTCTAGACAGTCAAGTGCCAATTATCGATATTGCGAAGAGAACACAAGGAAACAAGTAGCGGCATGCCGCAAGATCATCATCGTTGTTCTTATCGTTATTAAATATAATACTCGTACAGGCGATCGGTAATGGCGTTATGAACGCGGAAGCTTACGGTAATCGCCTTGGCGACCGCAAACAATAATCATTTCAATCTGTGGCATCATCGTTAACCGCTAGAAAGCATTATGTCTCATTTGTGGACAGGTGTTGCAGAATCTCACGCTTACGTGTTATCTTAGCAAACTTTTCGGGATTAACAGAGCTTGTGATTAACGAGCAAATTCCTAGATACGATCTCTTTGAAAAAAAAGAGAGTGTAAAATGTATCTACAATGGCAAAGAAACAAACGATTAATCATTTAAAACAAGAGTAAGAACTCTGAATCCAAAGAATCCAAAAAATCTGAAAGTCCAAATTGAATTTCACGAATTTAAATTTTGATTCCGAATATTACGAATGTATTCTAAAAACTATGAAGATGTCCTTAAACGAGAAAATTTATCGCAATAATTAGATTCTACTATATCAAATTGTTACGTAACAATTTCATTACACAAAAAATTTATAGAATCAATAAAATAAAGTTTATTAAGGAAATTCTCTTACGTCAACCAAAGATGTGACGCATAAAGGGCAAGCCGAGGAGTAATCCAGGCAACGGTCCAGGCACATCCAGCAATAGGTGTGACCGCATGGTGTTGTGACAGGTTTCCAGAGCAGACGACAACATAGAATGCAGTCCAATTCCGCCACGGTGCTGCCGGAAAGAGGCGGCAACAGGATTTCAGCGGGTCTCGGCTCGATTCCTGTAAATTAATTCGAAATTTTCAAGAATGCGAAAGAGGTTCGCGCGGATAGCCGAAGGAAACTTACTTTTCAGTTTCTCTATGTCCTGATACACACGATCCAGACTCATCTGCAGCTTCGTATTCACCTGTGGCGCGATGGAGGACCGAAGTCTCCTATTTATCGTCTGCGAAGCGATAAACAACAATCAAAACGATGAAAACAAAAACCAGACAAAGATACGAGATAATTAAATTACAACCAATTGCAAAAATTGATCTCAAATCTCCGTGTTATAAAAAAATAATCAACAAACGAAATTGAATGATTTTCGAGAAACGCACTTGAGTGAATTCCTCTTCACCGCTGCTGTTGTCCTCACAATCAGACCTGTTCAAGGCAGCACGTCGGCTACGCTTAGAATTAATTAGTTGACGACGATTCCTCGTGCGTGACGCGCTCTTTGTTAGACTGTACGGCGTGCGTGATGACAGGACATTCTGTCGACGTACTCCTGGCGACAATACTCTGTGCAGGACCTGCGATCAACAAACTCGATAACATATGCACTAATTGGATACATTTGTACGCAGTAATTGCCGAGAATTCTTAACGCAGATTGCTCATTTCTCTCTTTTATAGCAAGAGTAATGCGAAACCAAACAATAAATGAGATAAAACAATGCTATGTAATTATATCTAAGAAATATGCGCACTAATTTCTATCGCTTGTGCTTAATTTTTGCAGTTTAATTTAATTAGATATAAAATTTATACGACGATAAATATAAAAAACACAAAAGGCTAATGCGTTAAAATAATTTTTGGAAGTGTTATCTTTCGTCAAAAATGCAAGTGCGAATTTCAGATTGAATTACGAAATACGATCGGCATTGTGATGCATTGTAAGTGTGACTCGTTTCAACACGAAGGATTAACATTGAAAATTAATAGACCATGACAAATAGAAGCTTCAGATGTAACTTTCACCAGCTGTGATTGAATACTATTGTTCCTTCAATGGCTTTTAATACGCATCTGAGGTGTCCTACATACATGAAATACTTCTAAGATCAACAAGGATTCAACCGACATTTAGTCACTAAACCGAAGTGAACGCGGTTGGGCAATTCACAGAACGTTTTCGGACGATGAAAGTAAAAGTGCGCCTTCCATAATGCGGACAGAGGGATTCAGCAGCACGGGAAAGAATGATTCTCCGATCTTACATAATGGCTATGCAGCTTGCGTCAATGATTCCACCATCGGGCACTCGGTTATGTAATCGTCGTATACGCTCGAAATTCAACACGCTCCTTTTTTTAAATTATTTAGCATCGAAATTTGATGCAGCCTGATCGCGTTGAATTATTTAACGTTCATCAATTGTTATTATACACAACTGCGTTTCGGATTTCGCGGATATTCGCGTATGACGCAGCATTATAAGACTTAACGTTGAATAGTATCGCGAAAGTTGTAAATTATCCAAAATGCAGCATCTTTCAACTCGAAAATTTTGCAATTAATTAGTGTTATTCTGTATTTACAGTTTACTGTGTGTTAATAGACAAAAATTATGTACGCATAAATGCATCGTGAATCACAAAGATTTGCTAGAAATAAACTTTTCTCACACAAGCTACCTTACAATCAGTAGCGTTTAAAAATATCCAGAGTGATTTAAAATATTATTAAAATTCTAAATAATAAAGAGTGTTCTGTGTTGCGTTAGAGCAGTGTCGGAGATGCAGTGAAATAGCCGTCACGCGCGTCGCAGATAACAGATCAATGCTAAATGAGACTTTTCCAACAAGATGAATGAGAGAACTGTACGGCAGTTAAAAAATTCGACGTAGAAGACGTTCTGCATTATGCATGGAAGGGTAGGAAACGCAAGGGTTGTGCGTCACACGGCGGAAGATCGATATATCGACGCCGTCGCGAGCCGCGCGCGACAACACGTGGAAGCGGCGCATTCGTTCGCGAAAATGGCATCGGCTCGCTCGCTCCCGCGAATCGTGGCTATCGTTGCCCCCGGCGCGCGGGTCACTCACCTGGCGACTATCGTACCGAGTCATTAAGCCGCACGGCCGGCAGCAGTTGTGCCGGAAATGCCGCGGCGCGTGTTTCTTTTGTGTTGGTGATGCTCTCCGGATAGAGATGGTGCATCAGTTCTCTACGCGCCGGCGGACGGCCTTTAAAGCGCATTCCGCCGGTTGCGCGATTGCTACGCGAGGAGTGCAGATTTTTCGTCTAATATGATCTTGACGGTTTCTTTTATTCCTTCGATCGCGTACTCTAATTTCTGTGATTTACAAAATGATTGAGTATTCGGTGAACTTATGTAATCGATAATTGAGTTGAATTTCTTCAAATTGAATCGCGTTTGACTCAAGCGCAGATAATTGACAATTTTTTTACTATTAAACTATTTTCAGCTGTGTGAGATTTTATGATGAAAAATATATGTATTTCTATTTTACCATTCAGTGGAAAATTGCCGATGATCAATTAATTTTGCGACATCCTCATTTTGAAACGATCCGAACTCATTGCATAATTGGACTTACATTAGGATTTGTAGATGTATTTTATGAATTTTTATGAAAATAGAATATCAAGTACCTTGATTAATTCATGACGTATAGCTTGTGGATTTTTGTCAATGGCCACGCTGATGCAGAGAGCATAGAGCGCTTCTTCATGTCTTCCAAGCGCCGACAAAACGATTCCTCTTCTATAGTGACCCTAAAAACATAAAAACTCTACGTTATTTTAATTCTACATATAAGTATTGTAGTAATTACTGATTATTTTTGTTTGATAACGACACGTTTTTAACGAGAATTTATTATCATGTGTGTATAATAAAATTGACAAGATTAGCAAATGTACGTATTTTATTATACGTCAAATCGATAAGATGAAGGAATCAATAAAAATACCAGGCCTTTAAGTATTAAATTTGAACATTTAGTCAAATTTAATTTATAAGATTTAATTTAATTTGAAAGTTACGAATCGAAAAATGCGTATTTTTATCGAAAACAGACATGTATTATTTCATTTAACACATGCACCGATTATACGTAGGCGTTGGTCCTGCGCTTCCTCACCTTGCCCCAGTCTGGTCGCAATCTAACTGCGTGATCAGCGTCCGTGAGAGCGGCTGAAGGCCTATTCAACAAGAGCAAGATGTAAGCTCTGTTGCTAAGATGGAGCGGGCTATTCGGCGCTGAAACACAAGAAAACAAGCTCGTAAAGTGTCTGTCGAATGGCGAACAAGATCTAGTTCGCACCATATTAGAACTTGTCCTCTGGGAATTGTGTCCTCAGAGAAATGGTCATGAATATATTTACTCCGTTTTATGCAGTGTACGTGAGTAGGATTGAGCAACATCGGAGTTTTATGTTTAATAAATATTTGATATGTTTTATGAAGCAACTTTAGAAAGGCAAAGCAGACATTTTGCAAATAAACTAGCAACCGCATACATTTGACGATGCAATTGCATATGGACGGTTTATCTTTCTTGTAAATTCACATATTTTTTATACGATGCGATGATAAAACTTCGCACGCCAATAATGCAAAAGAGTATTGTGATCCGCATGAATGCATTTGCGAGCGTGATCCTGCATCGATTCCAAGCAATCTGAATATTTTTATGATTAATAGAGCGGGCTCGCGTTTATAATTCTGCAGAAACTCGTTTTGCGGAAAAATGCCGTCCACTTATAAATAGCGGCAATGGCATTTCAAGGAAGCAACAGCGGACGATGCCATCGGCTGATGCAGGCGGCGGCGGCGGCGGCGGCGCATCCTGGCATTGTGAGCAATGTCATTGCCTCCGCGGCTAGAGTCCCTTACTTAGTCGAGACAAATTTCCGGCGTGAGTCAGGATCGTGAATGCCAAGAATAGCGTTGAGATTCGCTCGATACTCCATGTCAAAATAAATTAAGCAAGAAAGACAGAATATTTTCAACTAAAGAATATTGTGAATTTAATTTACGGATTAGGAAAATACAACTTTCGATGTTTATTGCGCGACGTCTCGTAATTATTGTTTTCGAAATGAAACTAAACACATGCTTTCGCACAGAACGACTCATCGTTATTTTTACGCCATTATCTTGATGATGTAAACTGTTTGTATAACATTTAAAACTAAAAATATTTGATTATTTAAAACCATTAAATATTCATGCTTCTTATTCTTCTTGCATTTAAATTAAATCTGAAATTTAATTTTTATTAAACCAAGATTTCAAAAGTTGCATAGAATGCTCAGCCTTAATATTACGCGCATTGCATTTCCAGCATGTTACTTGAGCAATCTTTTATAAATATTCATCTTAGGAATACATAAATATTTTGTGAACTAATAACTCGTTTTATTGAATTTAAATAAATGCCAATGCTTAATTTATCTATGTGTATATCTAAGTTATCTGTAGAAAAAATAAGAAATCAGGCATGTATAATTGTTAAATGCTTATTAATCATAAAGATACACCGTTTTAAGACTGAAATAAAATTTTAGTGGTCTCTCGAAGAAACCTCATTATGACTATATACTAGAAGCAATTTTCGTAAGCCAGCTTATGTAACAATGTCTTTAAATGTTGCGACGGTTTGCTTTAATTTAGAGATGCGACGCGAAGAAACCTAATCGCTATGCGGCTATTGTTGTGTGTAAGCCGCTTATTTTGAAAGTAACCTAAATCGGATCTAAGAATCCTGTAAAATTACTATGGAAATGCATGCACAACATGCTTAAATTTATTGATTACACGTTCATCACTTGTTGTCAGTATAATTGCTAAATTATTACACCACTTTTAAATGCGACTTTTGCCTTAGAAAAATTAAATACTTTAGAATTAAGATATTACTTCTAGCATTGATTGCGTTAAAATTAATAGAAAATTAAATATTATCCTTTAAAATACAGTTGGAACAATCACTTTAATATCAAATTTACGTCACAATTTTATTGACAAAACTCATTTTGAAATCGTAAAGAATAATATTGAGATTTGTATAAAATTATTTCAATTTGCATGTTCAATGTGATTATTGCCGATAGCGATTTAGCGAGACATGTACAATCCATAGATGATTCATTAGGAAACTTGGAGTACTTCCGATTGAGTTGATTATGTAAGCACACATGTACGATTAAGTGCGTGCGAACGCACTTTTCCATGTGGATTGTCAAGCTATAAGAAGTACACATGTACGTACAAATGTATGTACAACATGTACGTACGGGATATCAACAAACGAAGTTCATTCATTAGCTTGATTATTCTTTGAATACGCCGTAAAAAAGTGCTCTTTCTGTCTGTTCAATCGAATGCCAAGGTCCGCCTCGGATGATCGATCGTTTGCTCACCGCGGGCAATCGACCTGATCGTACTTGTTAAAGTGCGTACTGTCTAACGGGTTTTTTTTTTACACGACTAAATCTAAATCAATTCTAATCCTAAACATTCGCATGATAAGTATTTGTTAATAAGCTCTACATATGCATATATATTACACAAATAATTTAGCGAGGAATTTAAAATAGAATTTAATGAAAAATATATAAATATATTTTTTGTTATTTCTAAAAAAGATTTTATTAAAAATTTAGCTGGAATATGGAGTGAGGAATGTATAAATGTATTTTCTATTATTTCTAAAAAGGATTTTATTAAAATTTAGCTGTAAAAATGTAAAAATCAATAAAATAAACTTTGAAAGCAGAGATTGTTGTTTATATGCTTTTTAGACTCAAGTGCATCTTCATTGCATTTACGGGATTCCTAAATTACACTATGTGCGCCGAGAGGTTCGATGCCGCGTGTGCAACCAGGCGCGACAGATGGCTGCTGACCTTCGTTGGGAAGAAAACGAGTGGCATGGAACGAGGAAAAAAGAGAGAAGAAGAGAAGGACGACCGATGCTGAGTTCGAGAACCCAGTTAACGGAATATCATACAGAGGTATACTGTTGTAAGCGTTCACATGAGAATCGGAGTAAAAATTGTTGCTTTGCTTATGGCAAAACCATAATTTTCGAGAAATACGTGGTTAAACAATAATTTAAAAATAGCCAGGATATTTGATATAATGATTTTTGGTTCTATTTAACTTTGTTTTATAATTAAGTGTAAATTTAATTCTTTTGGCTTTTTATCTCTTCAATAATATGATAAAAATAACGTACAATCCATTTCTTTAATATTCGATTTCAACTAGAATTAAAAAAAATAGTAACCTAAGACTGGTTTCAATAAAAAATAGACAGTTTGCAAATATTAGAACTGTCAAAACTTAAACACCCAAAAACTTCGTCATAAGCTGGGTTTCTTCGGAAAAAGTCATATTTATATACTATCGAGTTTGCATCAGCATTCTCAGAAAATTGAAATTGTGATGGATAATGCTTTAAGGAATCGAAAGTATGGAGTGCTTATAGTAATAAATGTACAGCTCATAAATGAGTAATTAACGAGATTCTTATTAGCAAATTTCGCAATGTGGAAAAGTTTGATGGATCATAAATCTTTTCGCAATCTTTTTGTTTTCGCGGTTAAACACTTTGGATCTCATTTCCAAGATAATTCTGACACGTTTTTCCCGATAAACTGATCTGAAAAGTAAATCCATCATTTTTCATGCATTATATCATGAAATCTCTCACTTTTTTCCCGATGTGCCTAATTTGCGAGTGTGAAAACGTTGCGTCGGTCTTCCTGAGTTGCATGCGGAGCGCGATGCAACTGCATCCGGCCGGTCGCCGGCCAACCGCGAAGGGAGAAGCGAAAGGCGGGAAGAGAAAGAATACAGCATAAGCGGCTACATCGCGAACGCGTCGCGCGGGCTGCGCGCTGAGCCGCGCCGCGTCGGTGCAGCTGCAACGCTCGACGCATCGTCGTTGCGGCGGAATAGACGTCACCCATGCCGACGCGGCGCGGCGCGGCGCAAACAGCCGCGCGTTACGTAAAGGTCGGTCACCCGGCGCGTACTACTCCATTGCACCGCCACCGCCACCGCCGCCTTCGCCGTTGTTGCTGGCATCGTATCGATATTGCTACTTGCCACGTGTAATTATCATGTTCATTTATGGAAACGGAAAATACGAAGGTTGTCTCAGTTTAATAATATCATAGAACAAACATAATTAACGAAATTTAAGCAAAGTGACAGTCCCAAAGTAAATACCTTGCCTTTGAAACTATCGTCTTTGTTTACGAGAAGATTCTGTTCACTAGGATGTCATAAAATAATCATGTACAATATGAGATACATTTGTTTCGCGAAATTATAATTTTCTTTTATGAATAAGAAAAATGTAGATTTAATGCAAAGTGACAGAATAACTACATGTAATTCTAACAAGTTTTAATTATTATTGCAGGAATGATCATCTTCATTTATCGCAATATGGATTGAACGTAATATAAAAATTATAGAATAATTATAATTATTTCGATAAAAATTTGGTCATTAAGTGTTCTGTATATTCTGCTTTATGATAATAAATGAAAAGTATGCAATAATCTCTCTCAATAACATAGTTTTCGAAAAAAAAATTTTATCATCCCACAAATCCTATTAATTTAATTTATTATGCCATAGACATCATAGGTATATATTACAAGTACAATATAGAGTGATAACAATATAAGTTATAACTTTATTTACAAAGCTCCAAGGAGGCCGCTACGATCAAAACAACAAGATATTTATAAAACAATCTATAAAGAATGCCGTATATATCACATATCTGTGTAAAAGCACCGTACGCGAACTCGATTTCGGACGTATGAATAAATGCGTGTGAGTTATTAGTATCAGCCGTGGATGTGAAGACGCTTTGAGTCATCTACCAGACACTAATGATGATCCGTTAACCAACGGGATGCACAGTGTGTCATCAATGTGAGACATCTCGTTGGTTATCTGTACGCTACGGGGGTCATAGACTTACATATATCTCGCCTTTCTATTCTGGCAACGATCAATAATGCTCCACGTGTCATACGCTGAACGAACGTACGCCGCGCGGACTCTTCTTCGCGTCACCTGCCAAATTATTCTACGATATTTCTCTTGGATGTCTTTCGTTGCGTCATTCCTGTTAATTATGCACTTAACCTTATCAGCAAATCGCCGATGGTCTACGAAAAATCAGCGAATCGGTACGTAAAAAAAACTTCTAATAATGATATATTTGTCGT